TTTTTTTTTTTTTTTAATTTGGTCAATATAATGTCTTCCAAGTTCATTTGTGTTCCAAGGTGTTTTGGCAATTCATTTTTCTTCTTTATTGCATAGTATTTCATTGTACATATATATCACATTTTACTTAATCCCTTCATTTGCTGATGGCAGTTAGATTTTTTTCTATCTTTTTGCTGTTAAGAGTAGTGCTGCGATCAACATGGGTGTGCACATGTCTGTTGTTATCATTCTGTTAGGTCCTTAGGGTTTTTACCTAGGAGTGGAATTGCTGGGTCATATAATAGTTCTACCTCTTGTGTTTTGAGGAGCTGCCAGATTCAACCAGTCCCTTAAATGGCTGTACCATTTTGCATTCCCAACCAGCAGTGGATGAGGGTTCCAGTTTCTCCATGTCCCCTCACATTGTTATTTTATTTATTTTTAAATCTTAGCTACTGTAATAGATGTTCACAATTGAATCTCATTGTGGTTTTGATTTGCGGTTCTCTGATGGCTAATGATGTTGAGCATCTTTTTATTTGTTTATTGTCTGTTTGAATATCCCCTTTGGTAAAGTGTCTATTCATGTCCTTTGCCCAGTTTTTTATTGAATTATTTGTCTTTTTGTTGGTGAGTTGTAGAAGTTTTATAAATATTTTAGATATTAGATCCTTATAAGTTACATCATTCCCAAAGACTTTTTTTCCCCAGTCTATAGATTGTCTTTTTAATCTCATTATAAAGTCTTTTAATAAACATAAGTATTTAACTTTTATGAGGTCTTAGTTATCTATTTTATTTGCTGTTGATTACATATTCATTGAGTGTGATAGTGTGTCATTGAAAGAAAATTATGTTGAACAACATAAGTCATGTATTTTCTTCCAACAAATTTATGGTTTTAGATGTAACATTTAGGTCCTTGATCCATCTTGACTCAGTTTTCATGTATGGTGTAAGCTGTGGATCCTGTGTCATTTTTCTGCATATTGAAATCCAGTTTTGCCAGCACCATTTGTTGAAGAGCAGCCAGCACCATTTGTTGAAGAGACTGCTCTTTCCTCCTTGAATGTGTTTGGAGCCCTTGTCGAAAATCAATTGACCATAGATGCTTGGATTTATTTCTGTATTTTCAGTTCTATTCCACTGATTTGTATGTCTGTAATTAAACTAGTTTCAGGCTGTTTTGGTTACTGTAGCTGTGTAATATGTTTTGAAGTGAAGTTGTGTGAGCCTCCCTACTTTATTCTTCTTCAAAATTGCTTTGGCTGTTAGAGATTTCTTATCTTTCCAGTATAAAATTGAGGATAAGTTTTTCGTTTCTATAAAGAATGCCGTTGGAGATTTGATGGGATTGTGCTGCATCTGTCTATCACTTTGGATAATATCAACTTCTTGACTACATTAAGTCTTCCAATTCATGAACATGGGACATCTTTCCATCTATTGACATCTTCTTGAATCTCATAATTTTCATTGTATAAGTCTTTCACATCCCCGAATAAATTTAGTCCTGTTGTTGTTGTTGTTGTTGTTATGTGCCATCGAGTCAGACCCGACTTGGGTTTCTGAGGCAGTATCACTACAGAAGTAGATTGCCCCATGTTCCTTCCGAGGAGTGGCTGGTGGATTTGAACCGCCAGCCTTCTGGTTAGCAGTCAAGTGCCTTAGCTAACATGCTACCAGAGCTCCGATATTTTATTCTCTTAGATGCTATTGTAAATGGGGTTGTTTTAAAAATCTCTTTCTCATGAGGGCGTGGGACCATGGTCACAGGGGACACCAAACTCAATTGGCATAACATACTATACAAAACATTGTTCCACCTCCTACTTTTGTGAGTAGCGACTGGGATCTTAAAAGCTAGCAAGCTGCCATCTAGATGTAACGATGGGTCTCTCCTCGTCAAGAGCAAAGAAGAAAGCAGAAAAACAAAATTAATGGAAACAATCAGTCCCCACGACTGGTACACCATCCGATCTGCAACCTATACAAGTATGAGACCAGAAGAACTAGATGGTGCCCGGCTACCACTGTCATCCACTTGGAAGGGATGTAGGAGATCCTGGATAGAGAGGGAGAACAATGTGGAACAAAACTGAAAATCATTTGGAGGGGGGAAAAAAAAGAGGGGGATGGTTGGGACCAGGTTTGCTTGTCCAATAGAGCCTGGTGGAACCACTGAGACTATGGCCCCTAGCTACCCTTCAGGTCTGGAATTGAACCCACACCTGTGGTTTCCAGCCAAACAAAGTACAGGCATGTGAGTTGAACATTTACCTCAAGTAGACACATGCCCTCGAGAGAACAATCATGGGAGAAGGAAGGGCAGCTTATGCATAGGGAGACAGCTTAGGGGGCAGGAGAGTATGGAGGGATGGACACTGGGAAGTGGTACCATGGGGAGGAAGTTGGAGGGGAGCTGTTGCATTGTGGTAAACTGTGGTCAATGACATGAGACAAAGTATATGTGAACTGCTGTATTGAGAGTGAATTTGCTCTGTAGATCTTCACCCAAATCACAATTAAAAAAAAAAAAAATCTCTTACTCAGATTTCTCCTTGCTGGTGAATAGAAACCCAGCTGATTTTTGTGTGTTGACCTTGTATCCTACAACTTAGCCTTTTGGTTCTTAACAGTGGATAAAATTCCCACAAATTACAAGATTAGCAAAGAACACTCATCATTAACATGTAGGAATCTAATTATTAAATATGCATTGGGATAATCATATTAAATCAATCAGTAATATAAATTTTGAAGGTGTTTGACACTGACTAGAATATATTAAATAATTAATGTTTTAGTTTCAGTGACAAGAACTTTGATTCTCCTTCATAAAATTCTTGTATTTATTAATGCTAAATTACTGCAAAAGCCATATGTATTCATTCCAAGGAACAACCATAGCATAATTCTAACAGTGGTGAAGTTTATATAGAGTTTTTTATATTTTATAGCTCATTGTGAACTTGCTTAGTCCTCATAACCTCATATGAGGCAAGTACTGTTATTTTTTTCTATTTCATAGATAAGGGCACTGAGCACAGAGAAATTAAGGGACTTTCCCAAGGTCATGCAGTATTTGAACCCAGGGAGTCTGACTGAGTCCGTGCTCTTAACCCCTTGTTATTATTATCTCTTGCCAGGCAGTTAAGAACTTGGGGTTTTTGAGTGAGATAGACACAGGCTTAAATCATGATTGCCACTTAAATACTCTTGGGATAGGAATGTGTCTTTTGAGTTCTCTATTCTTGTTTATAAAACAAGTGGTGTTTTTGGGATAAAATCAAATAATATTTATTAACTGCTTAGCACAATGTCTGGCAGACACTATGCTAGTAAATATTGTAACAAATACTAAGATGCAAAAAGGAAAGAAAGTCACCAAAAGAAAACAACTGTTGCTATCATATGGAGGTATAGCCTTTCAGTCTTTTTAAAAATGTTTCTTGATTTTATAATGTCTCTTCTTTATTTATATTAACATATTTTTCTTTTTAGTAAAACTTTTTCTTGTTGATGTTTCACACAAAAGGAATGGAAGCTTGAATTTGCCGATAGGCCTTAGAGTAAAACAGGACTGTTTTCAGCTTTTATACTAGCCTAAACTTTTTTTTTTTTTCATGATTCAGGGGTAAGTAGGTAAAGATGGGAGAGGATGTAGAAATACACACACTTCTTTTTCTTGTTAAGTGAAAGTAGGATTATGTTTGAATTAAAATTTCTGGTGTAATGGCTACAAATCAACAAATTATAGGCTGTAAGAAGTAGACAGGAGAACCAATCTGTATATATTTGTCAAAATAACAACGAAACTCTGGTTTCAGAATAATTCGAGTTGCTAACTGAAGAGGCTGTAACTGAATGAACCATTGTAATGAATGTAGCCTCCTCCTCTTAAGTGCAGTTGTAGAAGTCTAACCGGAGAGTGCTCTGTTAAATAGATTCATTGGGTATGGTGTAGCTGTAACTTAACTAGTCCTCTTTTCTGTAGTCTGAGCAGTAAAACAAGGCTAACGCTTCTTTCTCCCTTTGTTCTTTTAGGTCTACACACAATGAGCTGGAAAAGAATAGGTGAGTTATTGATGAGGTTCAGCTTTTTTATGTTAAAAAGCAAACTCACAGTTTACTTGTGACAATAATGTGATAGTATATACGTAGTTGTATTTTATTTTTAAACTGTACAGTATATCATCATAGTTCTGATATATATATTTACTCCTCCCACCCCCAAAAAGTCTTTAAAAGTGACCTTACATTATTTCAACTGGAAGAAGTAAAATATATTTTTAAGCTCTTTTGAATTTTAAGTTCTATGCTATTGCCTGCTTTATTTCTGTCATTCAAAACAGGTTAATTGTGATAGGCTCATGACTTAAGTATGGTCCTAGGAAAGGATTAGGCTTCTAAAATATAGGTAGTAAACATTGTGACAAATTGTAGGGCATTGAATTTCTCTTTCTTTGCAGTTTGTTCCTTAATTTATTCATGCATTCAACAAATATTTATCCAGCATGAGCCACTGTATGTTAGGGCCAGGCCAGGCCAGGCACAAATACACGGATGTGTGTGATAGTATCTGTCCTTAAGGAACTTATAGCTTCACTGGTGAGACAGACAATTAAAATACTATAGAATGAAGTAAGAATGATAATGGAGAAGCAGAGTGCTGAAAGATTATTTTGGAAAGTTACCTAATTCTCCTTTGAGGGAAATTTGGAAGGTTCATTACAGGAAGATGAGCGATCATTGTCTGTTGAAGAACCTGCAAGAGGTTCAGTATGTATGTAAAAGAGTGTAGCACAAGGCAAACCAGGCTAGATGTTGGAAGGGTTTTTTTAACTATGCTGAAGAGTTTTCTGAGAGCAAAAGAAGCAGTTGAATGATTATAAGATGGGTGGTCATATGATCAGATTTGTGTTTTAGAAAGATCACTTTGGCTACAGTGTAATTGGGAGAAGGGATACCAAAGGCAGGAAAACCCTTTTGGAAGCTCTTGCAGTAATTCAGGTCATAGAGATAGGCAGAATAAAGAGACAGTACAGAGTAGAATCAATAGTAATTTGTGATTAGTTGGCTATGGAATGTTAAGTTTTTAGATGATATTACCATTTACTGAGAAAAAGAGTATAGGAAAAGGACAAGTTTGAGAAGACGACTATTGTAGGCCTATAAAATTCTCTTTTTGGTAGAGTGATTAATAACCAACAAAATGTAATCATCTGCAACAACCATTTTTGACAGAAAAAAAAAAAAAAAAGATCTCCATGACCTTCAGCCTTATTTTAATAGAAGGCTCCTTACAGATTGACTAGCCTATTTCCTCATTTTGTGATGACTTAAAATGTCATGTCCTCTATAAGCAAGCTTAGTATAGTCCTCTAAGCAGACTTCTTTTACTACTTTGTACAATATTCTGTTCATAGCTCCTATTGTAAGACTTAATCAGATAGTATTGTGATCATCTGTTCACATGTCACCTTCTGCTGTGTGACTATGACTACCTGAAAGGCAGTACTGTCTTGTTCAATTTTGTATTCTCGGTGCTTAGTACTTGCTGTGTGTACAGTAGATGTTGGCTATTTTGCTACTGAATGAAGGTCTAAAATTGGAGCTCAGAATTCAGTGGTCTAGTCAAAGACATTTGCTGATTTGTGGCAAAGCAGTTTTCAGCAGGAGACCCTCCTTTTTCAGAATCTCTTTTCTGCTTTGTGTTTCTGATACAGTAAAGATCTGCGTGGGTGAAAGAAAGATCTGGGTGTTTGTCTAGTTTAAACAGCAAAAAATACCATGCAAGAAATGACATGAGCATTTTAAAAATAAAACTTTACACTGAGCTTTATTCTAAATTAGAACACATTGGTTAAATGCCAGTAAACAATAGTTTATAATTATTTCACTCATCTGAATATGGTGGTCCTTGGGAGATCCTTATTGGAAACCTGGCAAAAACCTTGCTTAATTAATATTGGTGAAAAGAAACCCTTTTTAGTTAACTATTTGGAGTGGAGCTTTGCAATCTTTAAGTAAACTTAAATTTTGTGCATTCTGTACATCAACTCAGACTTAATGATAACTTGAAAAAACAAACAAGGAGGGAAGAAGATGTTTGTATCACCCATAGTTTTACTTTCAATAAGATGTATCCAAAACGAAAAAACCAAATCCACTGCTATCAAGTTGATTCTGACTTATAGCAACCCTATGGGACAGAGAGTACAACTACCCTACAGAGTTTCAAAGGCTGTATATCTTTTTTTTTTTTTTAATTGTGATTTGGGTGAAAGTTTACAGAGCAAATTCATTTTCTATACAGCAGTTCATACACATTTTGTTTCATAACATTGACTGCAGTTGCCCATAGTGGAACAGCTCTCTTCCCATTTCCTCTCTGTAGTTAGTAGTTTCCTCTTCCCTGTGTCCTTCCCTCCCAAGCACAACCCCCCACCCCCACCCCAGCTATCTCCCTGTACAAGCACTGCCCTTCTGTTTTCCTAAGGTTGTTTGTTCCAAGGAGGCTATCTACCTGATGGAAATGTTCACCCCATATGCCTGTCTGTTGTTTGGCTGGAAGCCACAGGAGTAAGTTCAATTCCAAACCTCAAGGGTAACTAGAATCTCACCATGTTCTGTGAGACCAGCAAACTTTTTTGAGTTTTGTTCCACATTGTTCTCTCTATCCAGGATCTCCTGCACCGATCCCCCTCCGAGTAGTTGATAGTGTTAGCTGGGCACCATCATCTAGTTCTTCTGGTCTCATGGTCATATATGCTGAGGATCTTATGGTCTACCATACCATTCCTTTGGACTAATTGTTTCCAGACTAATTGTTTCAATGTGTCTTTGGTTTTCTTCAGTCTTCTTTGCTTTGGATGAGGAGAGACCCATCATTTGCATATAGATTGCCCCTTGCAAGCTTTTAAGACCCTGGTTGCTACTCACAAAGTAGGATGCAGAACAATGTTTTTTGTGTAGTATGTTATCTAAGGCTATAAATCTTTACAGAAGTAGACTGCCATATGTTTGTCCTGCAGAGTGGCTGGTGGGTTCAAACTGCTAACCTTTAGGTTGGTAACGGGGTCCTTTAACCACTGTGCCACCAGTGCTCATTGATAAGATCTATCTGTTTAAAGTATGACTGACTGTGGCACAATTATAACCAGTGTGACTTTTATCACCTGGGCTCTAGGTGATCCCCAGTGAAGGTCTTTTGTTCTTAGTTTCTTTTATTTACTTTCCTGAGACTCTGGTTAGTTTCTACCTGGCTTCACTTAAGGCATACTTCCCTCATCCTCTTCTGTAGCACCAGAAGTGAATGCCTGCATCTTCAGAAGGGCTAACGTTATTGTTGTTAGTTGTCATTGAGTCGATTCCATAACTTATGGTTATCCCATATATCTTATTGTTTTATTTCTCATATTATTTTTCCCCTCTCTCCTCCTTTCCTCTTTCCCTCTCTTCCTCTCTTCAAGGCTTTATTAAAAGGTGATATAGAATTAACCTTTCCAAGATAGGTGTTTTTAAAGGGAGATATTTATCAATACAGATAAACTTCTAATTTAGTGGAGCATGGCACAGGGTCAGTGCCAAAGGAGAATCAAATTTAATAACCTGTACCTTACTTCTGAAAAGTTATTGACCTGTGATCTAGCAAAAAACAAAAATATTGGTAGACATGGAAAGATTTTAAAGAGGGAGGTGTTTTAGCCAAGTACCAAGAAGATAAAAATTTAAGCCTATATTACTGTATTTTTTAAGCCCCTCACAGTCCCCACCCAGTTCTGTTTTAATGGTCCTTTCTATCAAGGCACAGTTTCTGTTTGACATTTTTTTTTTAAACTTAGCCTTGAGATCCTTTAAAATGAATTTTGACTTTATCTTTGTTCTGTCTTTGAGTACATATTAAAATAGTAACTTCCCACTATCACCAGGGTAGTTTGATTTTGTCTTATTTGGAAAAGACACTTCTGAAAGTAATTCATGTTATTAAAATTTTGCCACTTACTATACAATATGGTTATGTCAGACTTTTTTTTTCCTTTTCGTTTCGTTCTGATATTTTACATATAAGCTTCTCTGAGTTATTTATTTTCTGGGGCGAATGCAGTGATAGTTAGATTAAACCAAAACCAAACGCACTGCCATCAAGTTGACTCTGACTCATAGTGACCCCAGTTGGGTTTCCGAGGCAATAAATCTTTACAGAAGTAGGTTGCCAAGTCTTCCTTCCATAGAGTGCCTGGTGGGTTTGAACCCCCAACCTTCTGGTTAGCAGTCAAATGCCTTAGGCACTATACCACCTGAACTCCTTGACAGTTAGAATAGATTACTTTAAATTCTTAGTGAATGACAGTGTAATTCCAGAAGGCTATCTTACACAAATCCCTAAGGTTGCTGAAGCCCAGAGTCTGGCCTTGAGGAAACTGTGGTCAACAAATATTGAGGTTCTTACTCATTCTCAGATCTCAGAGTAAAGCCTAATGGTGAAGATTTGGGGTCTGGTGGGGCCAGTGTAGTTTGTTCTGGCCCACAAGTCACCTAAGATGCTGCCTACAGCCCATTAGGGAGTTTTAGATAGTTTGAAGACTATTGGAGAAATTCATGTTTTTTCTTGGTTGATTCTAGGCACTTATTTTGCTTAAAACCCTACTGCTTACACAGAGCCTGGGCTTAGATGATTCAGAGTGCTTTGTTATATCTGTACCCACTCTGTCCCCCTGAACCCACAGCAGGTCATAACAGGCCCAGAAGGTGGCGGTGGAAGGAGGAAGCGACATACCTTTAGATGTTCTGTATTCCTCAGGAAGCTATGTGAATGATTTCATGGTAAACTTAAGGAGTCTTGAGTTTTAAGAATTAAGAATTTGCTTTGCGCATTTGGCTTACCTGTGAGTTGAATCTTTTGCCAGAGAAGAAACCATTCAGTGCAGATTTTGGATTGCTTCATTGCTTTTTCATTTTCTTAATTCAAATTACTGATGATGTTATGGAAAGAGTCAACAACTTTAACAGGACTTTAATGTTCAAGAGCTTCAGTGCTGACTGCAAGAGAAGCCATTCAACCTTAATAGCTG